CCAACATAAATCTTTGATCTCAATGATCTCAGTGTTCATGCAAATTGTGGATCCCTTCATTGACCATTGTCAACTGGTTGGTGGTTTGGAACATTTTATATTTTTCCATATATTGAGAAAAACCATCCCAACTGACGAACTCCATCATTTTTCAGAGGGATTGAAAGCACCAACCAGTTCACCATTATCAACCACTATAAACCACTATTAACCACCATTAAACCACTATAAACCACCAAGCAGATACTCAAGATGCCCAATGATGGATTACAAATTGGATTCAAATGGATTCAATTTTTGTTTTTAGAGGGATTGAAAGCACCAACCAGTCATCATTTAAGTCATCCCAACATGTTCTGGTTTACACAAGTTGGATTCAAGGGATCATGGGGTGTAAATGGATAGGTTACACCTTGGGTTGTTACCCCCTGATTTTTTTACGCCTGGGATCAAAAACATGGATCCATTTACACATGGCCATCACATGGATCAATGACCACTGAGGACAACTTGTGACATCTTGTGACTATTGATATGGCTATTAATATGTAAACATGAGCCCTAAATCAGTGACCACTGTGCCATATATATTAAAGGCGAACTTACATTGACATAGGCTAGGCTGGGCCTACAGCTTCAGTCCCTGAAATCTGTGACGAAAACTCAGATTTTCTTCCTGAAAGCCATTGAATCGTGTTGGATCTGCCCTCTGGTAAATCAACATAGACCCTGGCAGATAGGGGTTGGAAGATTCGTTTTCATTAAAACTAGGCTATTTTCAGGGTCTATGTTAATTTACCAGAGGCTAATTTCTAGGTCAATCTTAGATGGGTACTTCAATCCCGTTGGTCTTGGATGGTATCAATGGGATTATCTAATTTTCACCAGCAAAGTTTTTTTTTGCAGGGTATCTAAGATTGGCACTGATTGCTGCAACCGAGTTTTTTGAAGTTTGACCAGAATATAATGATGGTCACCGCGAACAGATGTTCCCCTGTTGATCTGCCCTTTGTGGAATCATTAAGCAAATCCATAGAAAATTGTGTATCAACAGGCGCTTAAAGCCTATGCGGATGCGTATAAGACCTGAAATTGACAAGAATTGGATCATGTTTGCATGTTTATATCCAATTGATACTGGATGTTGGTCTAGAGACAAATTGGAAAACCGTGTTTGAATGGATCATACTAAACTTTACCCATTCATCTATGTTTACCCAGCTCATCATGGTCAATACCCACTTAAGATCATCAAACTCGGTTTTTGTTTCATGAATTCTCCATCAATATCCATTAACCCCTCCTGAACCATGAACCATTCAACTCCATCTTGTTTTTTCAGATATGGCTATGGATCAATACCTATAGCCTATAAAAATACCATTTTTAGGGGGATGAACATCCATAAATCCCAGCTATTTTGGGGTTCACTAGGTACCAGGGTTTTGACACACTGCCATATTATTGCTGGATGAAAAACAGGTTGTTTACGACCATCGAGACCACATGCTTGCAACCCATTCACATCATTCACCTTATTTTGTCACCTCCTTTTTGTTTCATAGATTCCACAATGTGGTACCCCCCCAGTGATGTTTGTTGGTTTATAAACCATAGTAAGTACAGAATAGTATAGATATATCTACCATAAACCATAGTGAAATTGGAGTTATGTTCACCAACTTAGCTAACTATGGGGCACCACCTTGCATGCATGGTTGAGTATGCACCAAGGGGGTTGCTGGTTATGCCATCCTGTGGAAAATTTGCCAAATCCTGCACCACCAAACGGATGGCTTGGATGGTTGAAACATGTTGAAAAGCCTCAAACAAATCGTAAAAATATGTGGGATGTTTACCACCTATCAGCCAGGATGTCGCACCCATTTACCCTCTGGTAAACATTTACATAGCTATTGAAAATGGCCATTTATAGTTATTATAGTTGATCTACCCATTAATAGCATGGTGATTTTCCATAGTTTTTTGTAAACGTTTACCAGAGGGTACTTAAAGCCATGAAAATTCCGGTATTTGCAATAAGTATGGTTTATAATCACCCATTTACCACCTATCAACCAGGATTTCGCAACCATTTACCCTCTGGTAAACATCTCCATAGCTATTGAAAATGACCATAGAAATAGTGGATTTACCCGTTAAAAATGGTGATTTTCCATAGTTTTTTGTTAGTTTACCCAAGGATACCACCGTTTTCAACGGGTGGATGTCGCATCCACCGGTTGCTTCACACCCCGAAGGCGTCACCACCCGCGCCACCATCGTCCTGGTGGAGTCCTTCCGACGCTTCGCCAGCGGCCTGCAACGGCTCAGCGCTGAGGAGGCGACGGATTGGACATTTTCCATAGGGATAGTGGTTCATCCATACAAGGTGGTGCCCCCCCAGTTATAGGTTGGTTTATAATCCCAAGAAACTATAGATATAACCCCCATAAACCCTAGTTATTGGACTTATAAACCAACTTAGCTAACTATGGGGCACCACCTTGTAGTCATGGGTTTTACAATGAATAAAATTATGGGTATTTTGCGGTATTTACAAGGTGGTGCCCCAGTTCGGAACCGCTAAGTTGGTGAACATAAGTCCAATTTCACTAGGGTTGATGAATGGGGGTTATATCTATAGTTAATGGGGATTATAAACCAACTTATAACTGGGGGGGCACCACATTGTATATATATATTTTTATTTATAATGGATTTTTGCAGGATTTTGAATGGATGGATCATCTATATTCATGGATATTGATGTTTGTTTCCGTAAAATTCAGGATACTATATAAATGATTACTATATAATAACATTATTGTTCTAAAGAATCCACAGTACCATAGAAACCCAAATTTAATAACCATGTGATGTCAAGAGATTGCTAGTATATGTCGTCAATAGATGTTAACATAGTGTTGATAGGCGATAATCCAGATAGTAATCCTCCAGCAATCGTCCTGGCTTTGCTGAGATTGTTATTTATGTTCCAGTAATCAACCAGAACTGTTCTTATAGGATTTCTTTGAGGAATATTCCTATAAGAACAAGGGTTAAATAGGGTTAAGATTACCTATGGGGTAATACAAGGGTTGATGTTTGTATCCCTTACTGTTCTTATATCAACCTTGCTGTTGATTAATATGTTGATATGGTTGGTGGTTTGGAACATTTTTGTTCATAATGTATGGGAATAATAATCCCAGCTGACTTTCATATTTTTCAAAGGGGTTGAAACCACCAACCAGTAATGGTTCATCCATAGGCATGGATTATACAATTGATGATGGGAATTAATTGGATAATCATACCATTAATTCCCATATGGATATATTCATATAAACCCTATGATAAACATACATATGGTTATAAACCCTATGATAAAATATTGTTAATTGCCTATGGAATATGATATGTTTTATAACCATATTTTGGATATAACATGTATTATATATATATCATAGCCATAGAGAATTAACCATATTATGAACCATATCATCCATATTCCATGGGATTTTCCAATGAATTATGGGTATAATTGGTATTTTGTCGTTTTTTGATGTCAACCCCGGATTTTTGTAGGATTTTGAAAGGCTTCATACTGGATTTGATAAATTTTTCATGGGATGTCGGAAGGCTTCCATACTTCGATGGAGCTTAGATGGAGCTAAATCCCATGGATGGATAGGGTGAATGTGGTGCCATGGTATAGATGGCCCAATGGCCCATAGAAATAGATGGTTTACCTATGAAAAATGGGTGGATCTTTCCATGGCTACGTTAGTCATAACCAGATGGCAATGGGATTTATACGGATTTTTTTTTTCAACTGAATATGATTCACTGATGGAAACTCCTAGCTTTAATTTGATGGAAAATCCTAGCTATATATATATATATATTTATGGGTAAATTTCATCACGACCAAACCCTGTTCTCCCGAAGCCTGGTTCATCATGGTTTTGTAGGGAAATCATCCCCAAATGGCGGAACTATTCAGGTTAGTGAATTATTATGATTTACCCAGATATATATATATATATATAATCTTGTTGGTGGTTTGGAACATTTTTTATTTGTCCGTTCAGTTTGGAATAATGATCCCACTTGTCTTTCATATTTTTCAGAGGGGTAGGTATGCCACCAACCAGTAATGGTTCATCCATAGATATGGATTATAGAATTGATTATGGGAATAGTCATGGATTATGGGAATATCATTAGTATATCAACCACTATAAACCACTATTAACCACCATTAAACCACTATAAACCACCAACCAGTATGAATTCAAAGAGCTTCGCCGCGACAATAGTCACAAAAGGCCGTAGAGAAATAACTGGTTTAGAAGCATGGTCACAAAGCAGTGAACCGATTCTTGGGATGATCCTCCAAGTAATGGTCGTGTAGTGATACTAAAAATGGTCGTTAATTTTAACTTTGCTAAAGTCAGTTATCAACAAAAAACCAGACATGAAAACCAAGTTATGTTCACCAACTTAGCTATAAGTATGGTGTAAGTATAGTTATATCCCAATGTTTTAACCATACTTCCTCTCTGGTAATCTGACATAGCTATTGAAAATGGCCCATTTATAGTTGATTTACCAATATAAAGATGGTGATGTTCCAGTTCGTTATGTCAACGTTTACCAGAGGGTAATGAAAGCCATGAAAATCCCTTTTTTGCTATAAGTATGGTATATCTCCATGTATGTATATATATATATATATATATAGAAGTATGGTATATCTCCATGTATATATATATATATAGAAGTATGGTATATCTCCATGTATATATATATATATATTGTTAATGGCTGCCTCGCCAACCAAGTCACCGCTCAGGCACCCAATGCCTTTTTCTCTATGGCTCAAATCCCTCACCGCTGCCCACCCCTTGGTGAGCCCAGACATCACACGTGTGAATGGATGTGCATCCATGTCGTGACTGGAACAGGGGACCTTAGTCAAAACTGAGGGAGTTTCACATACCCTGAACTTCAAAAATTGTTTTTCCAGTCCATGGACGATCCAAGGCAGTATAGCCACGGGTCCCTGGCCAAAAGTCCTTTTCACACCATGTCTCGCCGGAAGAAAACTTTGCAAAAGTAGTCCTCTCCACCCCAAGATTGCGGATATCCACAGGGCATCCAGGAACCCCAATAGGAGAAAAACGAGTCCGTCGAGGCATGTTATGAATCCGGACAACCTGACCCTTATCATTCTTTTCCCAAGTATCTTCTAAACCAAAATTGAAGTGAATCTCTTCAGTTGAAGACGTTTCAGGAGAGGTGGTTGCTTCTTTCATCCATTTAGCCCTTTGTCTTTTGTCTGACCTTGCTTGTAAAACCCGATTTTCATCAAACAAACAATACCTTCCACTCCTCAAACAATCCCTGCGACTTGAACTGTCCATGCTTTTCGTCAGACAGTCAGCCAACTGGGCATTGGATGTGACCCATCTGACTGCACAATTTGCTCGAAGCCGCTCACGAATTAAAAGACACTCTATGGTGGTACGATGTTCTTCACACTGTGGAATTGCTGTGCGAGTCAGGAGATCATATGCACTCTTACAATCCGTCACCAGAGCAGCTTGTCTGGCCTTTGCCAAGACTTCTTCAGGACTACCCCAGTTTATTTCTGGGTTTTGCAGCCACTCCCAAAGCAGACGGATCCACAGCAAACGATCTACAGTGCCACTAAGGGCAATGGCCTCTGCTCCAAGGGTGCTCCTGGTTACTCGGTGGATTTTCTTACTAATCCAAGCAACCGGAGCCACAACAGTCTTTCTGTTTTCCAGCAACTCTGGCGTCGTGGCAAAAATCAAACCACCTTGATGAGCAAACTTTTCTTTCCCAGAAAGGAACGAGGCATCAGAGAATGCACAGAACGTGACCTGACTGGGCGCAATTGGAACAGTCATCAATGACACCTTGTTGACCTTTGCCTCATGGAGAACCTTATTTGCGCTGATCAGATCACTCACCATTGCCTTTGGAACACACGACTGAATTTCACCAACCTTGGCACTTAAGTCAGGCCGCGTGTGTACTGCAGCGTACTGCAATGCACCTACCAAGCTTCTCAGCTGCGTGGTTTCTGCAGCTGTGATGCTACTTTGGGGTTGATTCCTCCGATGTTTTGGAATTTCTAAAGGAGCTATCTTGTCAATGTAATCCACCTGGTCGTACTCAATGCTCTTGTCATCCCATTGTTGGAATCTAATCCCCGTAAAGGTAAACGACCCTTTTTCAAATGAACCAAAGTTGAACTTGCTCTTGATCTTCTGAAGAGAAGCCAAAAACACATGGTCACCACCACCAATGCCATCATCAACATGAATTCCTATTGAGCCGTGGATGCGTAGTTGACCCTTTGAGTCTTTTGTCGCGAGGGTGAACACACATGGGTCCAGAGGGCACTGATAAAACCCTTCTGCAATCAGTGTGTCACGAAACTTGCAATACCATAGATATGGAGCATCAACTCTCCCATATGCTCCACCCTCCAAACTGCATTGATCGGTTTCTGACATGCCAAGTGCCTCTCTCAGCTCGGGCGGTGGATGAATCCCAAGGAGACGGCCGTCACCATCCCCATGCAAAAAGGCTGTGGAAACATCAAATGAAATCAACTCCCAGCCATTGCTGCTAACCTGTTGAAGAATCATTTGACGACCATCCTTGCTTAAAGTTGGGGAATCATTCTTCACAATGCCAACTCCAAGATCTTCGAAACCTACCACCACGAGACGAGCTTTGGCCTTTTGGCCATTACTCACATCCGCAGACAGGTCATTTGGTCCTGCACTTTTCCATGACAGAATCCATCGACAACGCATCACTGCCGACTCAGGAATTTTCCCTTTGGCCACTTTGCGAACAGTGGAGTGTTTCAACCAAGCCCCAATTTCCTTATGCTTTGCAACTGCCATTCGAAGTTGGTCGGCACTTTTGAGGGTACTTAATTTTACCTCCACTTTCTGCTTTCGGGCATCAGAAACAAGCAACACACTCTCATCGGCTGATGCTGCACACAGCGAGCTGAGTTCCTGTTTTGGTTCCAAGGGTATTTCCATTTCCCACAAGTCAAAACTTTCACCCCCATCAAACACAACATCATCCCCAAACAACACACTATCACAAACATCATCCCCATTTTGTGGTTCCCCATCAGATTCAAATGGTGCATCAGGAATAGGAACTTCAAAAGGCTCAAGCTGTGTTTCTTCTTCATCTCCCGGTCGTGACTCAGTTTCCCCATGCGACTCAGCTGAACGCTCCCCTTCGGGTTCCAAAGAAGATGGTGAATACCCAGGTGATTCTGGTTCCATACGATCATCAGGGGGAATATCATCACCTTCTAAATCAAGAAAAACTCCACTCCTGAGATTTTGTGAGAACCTGGAGATGAGTTTAACATCAGCTGAAGATTGTGGAGACTCAGGCAAATTCTTCCACTCTCGGAAGCTGGCTGGACGGATCTGTTCCGGAGACGCACGAACAAGTCGTCCACTGTGATTGAGCCACACATTACGAAGACCCTCAACAGCTACTACACTGGCTGGACCAAACCACCTACCTCTCTCTCTCCTCAGGTTTGCCCCCTTTCGACGCCAATATAATACCCAGTCCCCAACTTCAAATGGCCCTCGAAGTGGACGGCTTCGCCGGAGCAATGCTCGGCGCAAACTTGACGAATTGTCTGCATCTATGAATGCCTTTCTTGCAGAGGCTCTCAACTCTAAGCTGGCTCGAAATCGATCACTGGCAGGACCTTCACCTTCGGCCATTGTCATGCTACCAACATCGGCATGAGAGGTGAGTGATCCTGGCAACTTACGGGAAATACCTAAAACCGCCTGTTCAGGGGAATAGCCCTTAACCCGTGATAAAGAGTTCTTCGCAGTAAATGCTTGGGTCAATGCTTCTTCAAACTCCACAGGAGTTTTGATCGGACACTCAAGATCCATTCTATCCAACATTTTCTTCACAATAGACCCATGCGCTTCCACCCTTCCTAATTGCCAGTGAGCATCTCCTACTGCCATTTTGATGTTGATATCCAATGACTGCATGTGATCCTGCCACAAGTCAGATCGGAATTCACTGGCTGGATCCACATAAATCGTTTGCGGTGGTCCTGCCCAAAGAAGCCAGGCTCGTTGAAACGCTCGGATTTGTGTTTCTGCGTCCGTGTTTTCTACAGGAATTCCCAAATGAAACAAAGTACCTTCATCCACAACATGAGTAAAAGAAAACTGTTGACCCAGATGATTTGTCCACACAGCAGTGTCAACACCAACAACCTCATTAAAACCAAGATCATCATGGATAGCAGCCGGACGTGCAGATTCAAATCCAACCTTGCTTTCCGCACAGCTGTCGCATTGATAATCCCATGCTCCTTGAACAATGTGGGATGCAACATGACGTTCCTTCTTTCGGCTGTGGGGTGACCAAGGTTGTGATGTAGCCTCCGGACTTGTGATTTTTCCTCCCCAGTTAGTTTCAGAAACCCCGGACCATGTCTGGCGATTGACTTTGGGACCTCACAACCAGAAATTTCCCCTCTTACATCCCCATCTCTATCTCCATCCTCGACTTCAGGGTTTTCTTTTTGGGAAATTGTTTTCAAGTCCGGATTGTGGCTACTGTCTAGCGGAGAGACCCCTTCTGATGGTTCATTCTCAAGCTCCCTATTCCTTTCTTCACACTTTGAGGGTACTACCCCGGATCCAATCTTTTCCCCAAAAATGGTGATACTTATTTTTGCTGGTTTCCCCTTTCTAACTTGTTTGGATTTTGGGAGACTTGTCCATTCTTCAGGGGGTCCAAGAACTTCTGCCCTGCCGGTTGTGCGATCTTTGATCACAGTGATGCGGATAGGAATCTCTCGTTTGTTGACCGTAGAGTCCGGAACCCGAAATCTTTCAGTACCCCTACAAACTTCAACACGACGAACCTTAACCCCAGTTATACCCCGCTGAACTTCATCAATCTCATCACCCTGAGTAAAAACACGTTTTCCAACCCGAGGTACTTTGGGGTCCATTTGAGAGAAGATTCCATCCCAGAAACTATTTACAGCACAACCATGCTCTCCACGTGGGGGTCGCTTACTGGCATATCGCAGACGCTTGGAATCAGGTTCTTGTTCATCCGGAACATCCTGACTTATATTGTCTCTCTTTCGGCTCATGACAGCTCCAACAAAAGATTCATCAACATCACCAATCAACAATTCCTCCCACAAAACAGGCAAATTTTGAAAACCACAAGCAACATACCTTGCCACATTTCGACCAAAACCAGAAGAATACCTTGCTGCATATTCCGAAAGAGATATCCATCTGCCAAGATGGAAGACTTTGCCAGCAATTGGAACATGACTGTGGTTTCCCACGCACAAGCGATGGTCAAACGCTTTGTGGAAAAGTCTGGAGGAAGTGAAGACAGTGGTTCTTTTGCGCAAAAAATTGTTCCCACTGGTCTTCCTTTGGATCTTTGGGGCAAGAAGCTTACCAACTTCACACATGTCAAACACTGTGCTCAAGGTACCTTCTCGAATATCCTTCATTTCAGGTTGTTCTACAGCTTCAGAACCCTGTGGCTGTTCCAAGTGAAAATGACCACAAACCTCCATTTGATGAAGAAATACCTCATTACACAATTTCAAATGAACCCGTTGTTTCTCTCTACCATCTAGAATTTTGTTTGCAGTGCTGATGCTTCTGCCCATGTTGCGACGGCTGTAGTTGCCCCAGTACTTGCACTCAGGAGACATCCAAATCTCCTTTGGTTTCTTCTCCAGAATTGTCTTCCACAAAGCCTCTCTGCCGGCGGAAGTCGATAAGTCCCCATCGTGGATCGTGAATCTTTCTGCCCGAAGTCCAAGTCTTTGACATTGTTCTGTTATTTGAGAGTCTGGTTCACAATAGACTTCCAGGACATCCAGATGCCACTGTTGGGACACAGAACGCTGCTTAGCCGGAGTTTTCCATAGTGATTGAAGTTTTGCCAGATCCTTCTCAATCGTCAGTTGAGCACTTTCAATTTGCTGACATAGGTGGTTCATATTGGCTTCTTCCATCACTGTTGACCTTTGATCATGAATTTCCTCCCTCACTGAGTTTGTGCCTGAAGCTCCTCCTTGAGACGCTCGAGCTCTCGCTGCATCACCGCCATCTTGGTCATCTTGTCTTCGCGAGCCTCCATGCTGAGCTCTGGAATCATCTTTTGGTTTTCGTCCTCTTCCATGTTTCGCTTCAGCGATCCCATCGTTCCTGTTGTCCTTGGACTTGAGGACTGGGCCGCTTGCGAGATCACCTCCCAATCCACTGTGCTGGGATGTGAGAACTTCCATGGGGCTGACTGAATCATGCTTCGAATCTTCAGTTCCATCTCGGCTTCCACCTTGTTCTTCATCTCCTGGAACTCGTTTTGGGCCACCACACGAGCTCGAGCATAACTCTGAAAGCTCAGAGCCCATGGTGATACCAGTTTGGTGTGTGAGACCATGAACTGAACATACTTGGCGTCCTTGGTGAAGACCTCGGAGAACGTTGATCCCTTCCATTTCCCTTCGGGAAGTTTCATCTCTCCCCATTCTCGAAGCGTTGAGATCCCTGGCGGGCGATGACTCTTGATCACCGGTGCTTGCTCGAAGCTCAGGCTGGGATCTTCTGGACCTGTCAACGGTGTGTCCAGATGGGCTGACTCGAATGTCAGACATCCCGGAGCATTTATTCCTTTGTCCTTCACATAGGGGAACGCCATGGTTGACGATCACCGAACTGGACGGTTTCACGAGGGTATACTTTTGATCGCGATTGGACTGAGGTTGAGCCACTTGAGCTGCAGCCATGCCGTTGTTCACTTCAGTCTCGCTCGGCTGTTGCTGCTGCTGGTGTGTGCAGTAAACCTCCTTACTTAGAGTTTTGTTGGTATTGCTACTACTTGCCCATGTGATCACTTCCTCAGAACATGGCTGACCTTCCATGTTACATGCGGCCTCAATCAATTCTTTCAGAGAAACAGTGAACAAACCCTTGGAGTTCCTACCCAACCGAACATCACAGCCCCACATCGGCACTCTGAGAACTGACTGGCTCACAAGAAGATCAGCTCCGAGAAATCTCAAAAAGGCATTTGATATGAGAAATGGAGTCCAACCTTGCACCACCTCCAACCGAAACCACTTGGCCCCAAAAGGAATATAAATTGCCCCCAAACTTTTCAGGGTCTCATTATTCCCAAACCGAAAAACAGTCTCAGACCCCTGCCACTTGACTAAATTTCGATGTTCAGGTTTGAGGGATGCAAGAAGAGAACTCACACGCTTTTCACCGATGACGGACTTGCTTGCACCTGTGTCGATGATCCCAGAACCTGTTGGTCCAAGTTCTTGGCTACCCTCAGTTTCTGTCTGGGACCTGACAACACCGAAACTGGTTTCAAATGCCCGTCGAAACAAACTTTGAAATACTTTTGCATGCATCTTGGATCTTGACCTTGGGATAGTCATAAAAACAAATTCCTCATTAACAACAGGATACTCAGGTGGTACCCCCGGAATGGACAAACGGTCCCCGGTTCTGGCCTCCCAGGATGCCATGTGCTCTGTCGGCAGGTTCTCTACGATCTCAGCCGCGATGATGCCTTCGTCAATGGTGATCACATTGGCTTCGGCTCCACTTTGACGATCACGGGTTGGACACTCATCTTTCCAGTGCCCCTTCATGCCGCACAGCCGACATGTAGAAGAAGCAATCCTCTCAGCCAGGCTCTGTCGGCCCTTTTTGAACCCTTTTCCTTTTTTGGTCTTTCCTTTTCCCTTTGCAGCTCCACGAAGAGGCCAAAAGCCACGGCCACGGACCCGATCTCTGATCTTTGCACGAGCCTCCTGGTATGCCGAGAAGGCCATTGACAGCTCAGGCGTTTCTTGACACACCTGCACTATGTTCTCTTGAAACTCCTGAATGGTCAAGGCGTGTTCATCGCCTTCTTCAATCAGTGCCGCAAGGATGGTGTCCTCATCAGCCTCCTCGTCACCCATGTAATAGGTCTCTTCCATCTCATCATCCACATAGTTTACGGGATATACCCGCTTGCGAGCTGCATCTCCTTGTCCCAAGACCTTGGTCGATAAACTTCTCATTGCTCCTTCAATTTTGTCCGGTTCATACCCACCAGACATTGCGATCACTCTCTTCTTGTCCTCCACCGATAAGCCACTTTGTCTCAGAATCACAAAGGCCTTCACCGCCTTCACGGTGGTCTCCATGCCCACCTCCTGGAAAGCCACGTTGATGCGATTGACATAGGACATCGCTGTCTCATCAGGCTTCTGGACAGTCTTGTAGAATGCCCGCTCAAAGTGATCATACGTTTGTAGCTCTGCTGTTTCTTCCCAAGTTGACAGGGCACCCAACAGAGTTTTGTACCCCGTTTCAGCGTCAGTTAGCTTGGCCGAGTCCAGGTTTTTAACCTGAGACCAGGCCGTCCCCTTACAAAGGAGAGCCAGCCTTGGTGCTAACATAGGCCGATCCTTGCTAGGACAAATTCCCCATAGAAATCGAACCTTGTCAGCATACTCCTTGGCATTGTCAACACTTGGATCAAACGTTGGGAGGAGGCTCCAAAGATTTGCCCCCTTCTCCTCCGTTGATCCTTGAGAGGTTCCCTCACCTCCTTCCAACATTTTGGATGTCTATCCACACCCAACCTCCCAGTGTCCTCACCAGGTAGTAGAAACCCTCTATCAGGTTCACCTAGCCCTCGACCGCCTCGGTCTTTCCAAACGTCACCAGGCAACTCCGCCGCCAATGTTAATGGCTGCCTCGCCAACCAAGTCACCGCTCAGGCACCCAATGCCTTTTTCTCTATGGCTCAAATCCCTCACCGCTGCCCACCCCTTGGTGAGCCCAGACATCACACGTGTGAATGGATGTGCATCCATGTCGAAACTGAGGGAGTTTCACAATATATATTTTTTATATATACCATATATATATATCTACAGGTAAATATATATGTCCAATTCTTTAACCATACATACATATTCTTCGCCGGGCTCGCTACCAGGTCTCGGTGGCGGGGCTGCGTCAGCACCTTCCAGGGCCCCATCCGGATGAGAACTTGTACGCGACCTCCATCATGCCGCTAGGTGCGGAGAGTCCTTGGTGGGTGGAGTTTTTGCCTGAAGAAATAGCATTCATGATATGGAGGGTTTATGATCATCAAACCAATCAAACCATAGGATTGTTCATTATTCCCAGGATTCTTCATGAAGGATCATAGCTGGAGGCATAGATGTCCCAAATTCCCATTGATTGGTTGATGAAAAAAGAGGGGGTTGAAGGTTTAGCCCTAACTAACAGGTTTCTATGATGATAGATGGGATTAACCAGCTCCCGGCCCAAACCTATTTTTCTTGGTGAATTTCTTGGTGAATAGAGGAGGATTTATACCCTGATTTCACCACCAAACTATGGCAATTCTGGGAAGATTCATGGGGATGTCAGTGATCAATCTGATCGGTGATTTTTTTTTGGAGATAGCCGAACTATTCAGGTTAGTGAATTATTATAAGATAACCATGAATTTCAGGTTCTGAATTATTATATGTCTGATCAATCTGATTATTTCAGGTTAGTGAATTATTTATCCCCCATGTATAGCTCACTATAAAGTGGACATCCTTTGCGCTTATAAAGTGGGTTTCCGGTCGCCACTTTATATACCGACAATGGGGGATAAAGCCGTGTTTTGCGCAAGAATCATGCCCTTGGACCTGGAAGATGACTTTATTAGAACGTTGGCTTTCCAGTTTATACCCGGCTGGTTTCCCACAAGGAAACGACTCAATATATGCGGCAATGCATTTTATAGACCGTTGGTTCCCTTCAAAGAATGGCCATAATATGTCACACCATCCACTTTATAGAAACATGTCTCCCCAATTATTTCGGGCCAATATTTTTCTGTTGGGGCTGTATACATGGCAAAGCACTTTATAGAGTGAAACTTGCCCTTTAAGAAGAAGAATTTGTGCTGCATCCAGGGCACTTTATAGAAAGAAAATTGCGGCAGAGCATTTTATAGAGTCATGAGATACATCATCCAAGTCACTTTATAGAGCTGCCCAGGACCCCATTCACCCTGAGGACCCCTTTCAAGGGAAATCTTCTTCTCTATAAAGTGGCCAGTCCAGGTAAAACCCCTGAAAAAACAGAATCTATGTTGGACTGGCCACTTTATACCCCCTCCCCCAACAGAGAATGCCTCTATAAAGTGGCCAGTCCAGGTAAAACCCCTGAAAAAACCGAATCTATGTTGGACTGGCCACTTTATACCCCCTCCCCCAACAGAGAATGCCTCTATAAAGTGGCCAGTCCAGGTAAAACCCCTGAAAAAACAGAATCTATGTTGGAATGGCCACTTTATACCCCCTCCCCCAACAGAGAATGCCTCTATAAAGTGGCCAGTCCAGGTAAAACCCCTGAAAAAACACATTTTTACCTGGAATGGCCACTTTATACCCCAGCCAGTGGGCTCCAGGACTTTGACCCGGAAACGGAAGGACTGACAACAAGGTAAAGGGGGAAAACTACAACGGAGAGGTACAACGGGAAGGCTACCACAAGAAAATGAGACATGTCACGTTTATATACGTTTATTGTTTTCAATGTGTCATATAGATTGGCGATGATTGGTATATTGAATATGTTGTAGATGTACTTTGGAACATATGTATACCTATGATTCACACATCAATATAAATACATATAAATCATAAACACATGCCAAACCAAACACTCTTAGCTGAGTATTGTATTCCCAATCTGTTGGCAAATGTCCAGCCGATTCACCATGCGTGACCCAACAAGATTCAAACTATGGATTGTTTACTTTCGAAAAAAAAATACTGGGTGAATCTACGTATATCTATGACGACAATCTCCCAAAATCATCCTTAAAATCTATGGACATCTATGGGCCAAAACCACGGCCACACGCCCATCCTCTATAAAATGGTTTGCAAGAAAGTTCAGCTCTATAAAGTGGCTTGATCACGTCATTTCTGGCAGCCCCACCCTCTGTATAAACTGGCCGGTCCATGCCCATCCTCTATAAAATTGTTTGCAAGAACCAGTAAAAAAATATTTTCGAAAGTAAACAATCCATAGTTTGAATCTTGTTGGGTCACGCATGGTGAATCGGCTGGACATTTGCCAACAGATTGGGAATACAATACTCAGCTAAAAGTTTTTGGTTTGGCATGTGTTTATGATTTATATATATTTATATTGATGTGTGAATCATAGGTATACATATGTTCCAAAGTACATCTACAACATATTCAATATACCAATCATCGCCAATCTATATGACACATTGAAAACAATAAACGTATATAAACGTGAAATGTCTCATTTTCTTGTGGTAGCCTTCCCGTTGTACCTCTCCGTTGTAGTTTTCCCCCTTTACCTTGTTGTCAGTCCTTCCGTTTCCGCGTCAAAGTCCTGGAGCCGACTGGCTGGGGTATAAAGTGGCCATTCCAGGTAAAAATTTGTTTTTTCAGGGGTTTTACCTGGACTGGCCACTTTATAGAGGCATTCTCTGTTGGGGGAGGGGGTATAAAGTGGCCAGTCCAACATAGATTCTGTTTTTTCAGGGGTTTTACCTGGACTGGCCACTTTATAGAGGCATTCTCTGTTGGGGGAGGGGGTATAAAGTGGCCAGTCCAACATAGATTCTGTTTTTTCAGGGGTTTTACCTGGACTGGCCACTTTATAGAGAAGAAGATTTCCCTTGAAAGGGGTCCTGAGGGTAAATGGGGTCCTGGGCGCGCCGCGCGCGCGCGCGCCAAAAAGGTCTCAAAATTGAAGCCATTTTGGCGCGCGCGCGCGCGGCGGCGCGCCCAGGACCCCTTTCACCCCAAGGTCCCCTTTCAAAGAAAAGTGTGTTAGAGTCCAACATAGATTCTGTTTTTTCATTTTACCTGGACTGGCTACTTTATAGAGGCATTCTCTGTTGGGGGAGGGGGTATAAAGTGGCCAGTCCAACATAGATTCTGTTTTTTCAGGGGTTTTACCTGGACTGGCCACTTTATAGAGGCATTCTCTGTTGGGGGAGGGGGTATAAAGTGGCCAGTCCAACATAGATTCTGTTTTTTCAGGGGTTTTACCTGGACTGGCCACTTTATAGAGGCATTCTCTGTTGGGGGAGGGGGTATAAAGTGGCCAGTCCAACATAGATTCTGTTTTTTCAGGGGTTTTACCTGGACTGGCCACTTTATAGAGGCATTCTCTGTTGGGGGAGGGGGTATAAAGTGGCCAGTCCAACATAGATTTTGTTTTACCATAGATTCTGTTAACGACTTCGATATAGATATTTGTTTGGCTGTCGGTTTCGTTCGGTTTCGAAGTCATTCGAAGTCTTTTGGGTTCCCCATCGATGAGATCGATGATATTCCCCCAAAGTTTGAACGTGGCCCCTCAACTTTATAGACAATCATGTCGATGCTTCCATCGTCGCGATTAAGAAAATCATCGCTACTACAACGATCGTTGTTTAGTAGGAAATCCACATTATAGTGCCACTGTTCGACACAAGTATTACTATCTGGATGTTCGGCATCTCACTTTATAGTCATGTGACACGTTCACAAGTACCCTCAAAAACCTACATCGAGTTTTATGTTTTTACGCGGCCAGGCGACTTTATACAAACGTTGGATTTTGACTTTATAGACAAAACATGTTGGCTTTCCACTTTATAGACTCCAAACATGTGGCCATTCCAGTTTATACCAGGCTATTCTCTATAAAGTCGGCCGCAAAGCATCTAGCGAGCTGTACATGGGGGATAATTATTTTAATTTACCCAGATATCATGGTATAGTGATGTATAGTGTCCAAAAACCTTGGTGATTGGTTATTAGAAGGGATTTTCCTATCTGATATAATGTCAACCCCGGATTTTGCTAAACCATTGTTTATGACAATTAGGGGGGTTACTCCTCCAATAGTCATTGCATCTAATACTTTTTAATGGTACCCTCCCAATTAAACAGCCGTAAACGGGGCTTATCAATCCAGGGTTGACATTAAACACCATGTTCCTTAATTAAATTGCCGTAGTTTCAGGTGCACC